GTCGGAAGGAAGCACTGTGCCGTTAGCAGCGGTTGATCCAGCCCTCTCCACAGATCGCGTTGTGCACATCGGCCTGGGCCGAGGGTGGGTGCTCTATAGAGTTAACCTCTGAAGGTCAGAGAGGTGATCATTGTCTCAAGTTACACAAGTTCAGTCACTGTTCTGTGAGAGGCCTGCCTTCCAGCTAAGTCGGGTTGGGTGAAGAACGGTGGAGCTCGCCTGTAATCCCAGCATTTGGGAATCTGAGGCGGGAGGGGGGGGCAGTCTGAGCAGCATATTGAGATCCTGTCCCAGAGACAAATTAACAAAACACTACATTATGATTAAACAGAGTTGACCTTGTAGATGTGTAATAGGATCCGATGTGGTCCGTGTAGTCATGTGGTCTGATTTCCCTTATCTACAAATGGGGGTTTATGTTTTTTTCCTGCTCTAATATTTATTGACCTGTCTCTTGCTTTTAAAATATACTTTTATTAATTCTTTGGGAATTTTATACATGTATATTTTAATCATGCCCCTGACTCCTCACCCACTCCCACCCTTCCATCCTAGGAGGATGTCCCAGCAATCCTCCTGTCTCACCCTCCTATGTCCACCGCATAGCAGTTGGATTGTGGGCACAGCCTACCACTGCTGTTTTTTGTTTTTTTAAACCAAGGGCTCTAGGGATTTGAACTCTGATCCTGTTTGTGCCACCGAGCAGATCTCCCTAGGTCCAGGGATTAGGTTTTAGGCTGTTTGGATTTTAGGCTTGGATCTAGTCGTGAAGAGTTGGCATGATCAGATCCTGCCTCAGAAAGAGGGAGAAAGATTAAGTTCTCCCAAGCTGCTTAAGGATGAGGACAGGAAGAGTGTCATCTTTGGTCCCAACTGGTGGCACTATTGAGGAGTAATGGGATCATGAAAGCACTAACTTCAATAATGGATTAATCAGTTGATGAATTCATGGATGAATGGGCTATTAGGCATTGGGGCCCAGTTACAGAAAGTGGGTCACTGGGGTGTGTATTTTGGGTTTCTCCTTTCCCCTGATCAAACTTAGGTTGTTAGACTCTCATGGTTTGAATAAGAAATATTACCGAGTGTGGTAGCACTCGGGAGGCAGAGGCAGGTGCATCTCTGTGAGTTCAAGGCCAGCCTGATCTACAGAGTGAGTTCCAGGAGAGCCAGGATTGTTACACAGAGAAATCCTGTCTAGAAAAACCAAAAAGAGAAAGAGAAAAGAAAAAAAGAAAAGAAAAGAAATGTCCTCCATAGGCCCAGATATTTGAATCCTTGTCCTCAGTTGGTGGGGCTGTTGGGAGAGGTTACAGGGAGGGAGAATGTAAGATCTCTCCTTCGTTTCCAGTGTCTTTTAAGTTGGAAATGCAATGTCTCGGCATCCTGCTCCAGCCAACGTGATTACTCTGCCTCCTCTCCGTGACTGATTCTTATCCCTTGAACCATAAGTCCCAATAAAGTGTTTCTTCTGTCGGTTGCCTTGGTCACAGTGGGTTATCACAGCAACAGAGAAGCAATCAACACACGCAGCAAGCTCTGCTGCCCACTGAGCCAGCCATCTTACTGGCCCGCGTGTCTCTCTTCTGTCCAGCCCAGGGCTTTAGGCATGCTAGGCAAGTGTTATATGAGGAACTACAACTCTTGGACCTGCCCCCCCTTCTTAAATGAGGGACAGGGTGTCATTATGTAACCCAAATGGTTTCAGACTTGACATCACCTGTTTTAGCCTCCCAAGTGCACCACACACCTGGCTTTGAAAGTAAATATTATGAAGGGAGAGACGGGTCTGATTCATACTCTTTTGGGTCCTCAAATCCTGGAGCAGTGTTTGTTTGTTTGTTTTGAGATAGAATCTCTCTATGTAGCCCTGGCTGTCCTGGAATTCACTATGTAGATCAAAGTGGTCTTAAATTCACAGAGATATCCACCTGCCTCTGAAGGTATGTACACCTCCCCCCAACTATTTGTTGGTTTTTAGAATAGAATCTCCTGGTCTATGTAGCCTAAGGTGGCCTCCAACTCCCTATGTAGCCCAGGCTGGCCTTGGCCTCCTGATTCTCCTACCTCTGTCTCCTGGATCCTGCATTAAAGGTGTGTGCCACCATACCTGGCCAGTTGTTACTTTTTGAATCTCCTTGTGATAATATGTATTTGCGTGCACTTCTAAGTGAATATTGAGGACAGGTTCATAGAATCGGAACTGGTTGAGTAAAGGGATGCAAGTTGTACATTTACATGAAAAACAACAACAATAGCAACAACAAACGTACTTTCGTGGGTGAAATAGATTTGGGGTTTGCCCTGCTTGGTTGCTATGCACCATTACGTTATTCTTTCTGTTCTATGAGTTCACATGAGATGCTCAGCGGGGTAGGACAGAGAGATAAGCATGAGGAAGTGGCGAGGGACCAAGCCACACGGACCCCTCCGTATCAGGTGAGGAACAAAACCGTGTGCTGAGGGGCCATAGCTGGTTAGAGGTGGAAGAGCAGTACAGTCCCAAAAAGCCTGGAAGGTCGCCGGAGGAACAGACACCAGGTGGCTATCCCCCTTCTCCTAAGATCCCTGTTCTGACCTGGCCCACACCTTTCTGCTCCCCTCTTACCCAAAGGCACTGGTCTCTGGGCAAGAAGCCAGGAAGGAGAAACCTGTCCTTCCAGCCTGGGCTGTCTCCATCACGCCACACTGCTGTCTGTCCAGCTGAGCCACTCAGCAGGTACGTGCACAGAAGCAGCCAGAAAGGGTGGTGGCACACCTAGGACAGAAATGGGGGTCTGTGGGCCTGACCCGAACCCCAGAGGCCAGATTCACTTCAAAGCTCCCATACCTAGCAAGGTCCAGCCTGTCTGAACTGCTTAGAGCAATGCTTAGCAGAATAATGCCTCCTTCCATGTACACTTTGCACAATATACCAGCAGTGGCATATTTTTTAGCTTTTTAAAACTTAAATGTTTGGGACTGGAAAGATGGCTCAGTGGGTAAAGGGCCTGTTGCTCAATCTTGAGGACCTGCGTGCAGATCCTCGGCACTCATGCAAAAGCTGGGTGTAGCTGCAGGTGTGGCGCTGTGGTGGGTGAAGAAGACAGGAGCATAGAGCCCAGCAAACAGGTTGGGTGTGCCGCTGTGGTGGGTGAGGACAGGAGCATAGAGCCCAGCAAACAAGTCGGGTGTGCCGCTGTGGTGGGTGAGGACAGGAGCATAGAGCCCAGCAAACAGGTCGGGTGTGCCACTGTGGTGGGTGAAGAAGACAGGAGCATAGAGCCCAGCAAACAGGTGAGCTTGAGCTTCCGTGAGAGAAGACCTGTCTCAAAGGTAAGGTGGAGACCAATAGAAGAGGACACCCATCATCCACAAGCAGGCAGTAGCCAGGCACTGGTGGCGCACGCCTTTAATCCCAGCACTCGGGAGGCAGAGACAGGGGGATCTCTGTGAGTTCGAGGCCAGCCTGGTCTACAGAGTGAATTCCAGGACAGGCAAGGCTACACCGAGAAACCCTGTCTCAAAAAACCAAAACCTAAATAATAAATAAATTTAAAAAAATAGAAAGACAAAACAACCACAAAACCAATGGTATCCTGTGCTACAAGACGGTAACTATTATTATCCCCAATTTGTGGATGACACAGTGAGGCTCAGACAGTTGGGTGGGACTGGTGAGAATACAGGGCTGCCTCTCCCAGAGAATCCCAGTCACATGCTAAGTCACAGTGAACTTGCTCAGGAGGACACCTGCTTGAAAAGCAGAGTAGCACGGAATGCCCCATTTCCTTGATGTGGTTACAGGTTAGTCAAACGTGTGCCTAGAGATGGAGACAAGTTTCATGCCTGGGACTACAGAAAAGCCAGTTCAGCCAGTCAGCTAGCTGGGCCTCTTCTTCTGTATCAAAATCTGGAATGTATCACATCTTTATGGTGTTTTGAAAATTCTGATTTGAAGCTAGCCACAGCGATGCATATCTGTAATTCCAGTACTCAAGAGGTGGAGGCAAGGGCATCAGAGTATGATGCTAGTGGTACCATGACTCAGTAGGTAAAGAGGAGCTGAGTTCAGATCTCATAGTAACTCCAGCGCTGGATGGGTCAGAGATGGGAGGATGGTTGGGGCTCGCCAGCCAGAAAAATCTAGCCTGAAAAAAATGTTGGGCTCAAGGTTCAGTGAGAGACCATGTCTCAAGGGAATAAAGTGAAGCACAGAGAAAGACAGATGACTTCTGCCGGGCGGGGGTGGCGCACGCCTTTAATCCCAGCACTTGGGAGGCAGAGCCAAGTGAATCTCTGTGATTTCGAGGCCAGCCTGGTCTACAGAGTGAGATCCAGGAAAGGCACAAAGCTACACAGAGAAACCCTGTCTTGAAAAACCAAAAAAAAACACAAAAAAAAAACCCCAAAAAACAGATGACCTCATCTGGACCGAGTGTGTGTGTATATGCGTGCACATGTGTCACACACAAACACACACACACACACACACACACACACAGAACCTGGACTACACAGTGAGACTATATCTCAAAAAAAGAAAGAAAGAAAAAGAAAGAAAGAAAGAAGGAAAGAAGAGAAAATTTCAAAGCACTAAGTTTGACGTTCTCAGAGGAATCTTGTCTAAGAGTGAAGCAGTGGAAACCTAGACTGAACTCCTGTATCCAGACATGCCTGCAGCCGGCCCTTTTGAATCAATGGCATGAACCAATAAATCCCATGTGATGCTTCACCAATGCCAGGTGGATATCGCCACTTCCTTCTGAAGTCTTATTCACTCACCCTTGTCTCCAAAAGAAAACAAACCCAGGCTGGGTGGAGTGTTGCATGCCTGGAATAACAGCATTCTCAAGGTGGAGACGGGAAGGGGAGGTGATTGTGAATGCCACCTGTAATCTTCTCAAGAGGGGGTCACCTTGGCCTCCAGGCTAGCCTAGGATACATATAAATTCCAAAGACTGTCTGGGCTTCAGAGTAAAATCCCATCTCCAATAACACACAGAAAACAGACTCATCTACTCATTCAGCCAGCCAGTGTTTATTAGACATATGCTGGGTGATGACGGGGACCCCACAATGACCACAGCAGAATGTGTCCCTCCTCTTTCAGCAATCTAGGTCTATTAGAGCTTATACAAGCTGTTGAGCAACAACGGTTACACCTGCAAGAAGTTCTGGAAGCCACAGAGAAGTGCATGATGGGTTGTCAGGAACAGTGGAAGGGCCTCTGAGGACAGGACATTTTGTTGTCCCTAGGAAGATGAACCAGATCTGCCAAGTGAAACAGGGCCTGGGGTCCAGGCACACAAAAGCAGGCCCTGGGGTCCAGGCACACAAAAGCAGGTACAAAAAGGCTTGGTATTGCAAGAAGGAAAGATGGAGGGAGTGGGCAGGGACGAGTTGTGGCTGAGGTACACGGGGTTGGGGTGGGGAGGAGCTTGAGGAGGTCCAGGTGTAGCTGAGAGGCAGGATCTTCAGGCAGAGGTGAACACATGGCCTCCCCTTCATCTTCAGAGAGTGGTGTAGAAATACATGGCTATCAGCATCACAGGGAGCTAGGTGGGCAAATGATGAGACTGAGCAATCTAGTCCAAACCCACTTGTCTCCTCCAAGCCCACACCCACACCCCTGGACACCCGCAGGTCCCTCCTCCACAGCCCACAGGTGCCTCCTCTCTCACTGTCCACATCAAGATGGCGAAGCCGAACCACGATATGCCCCATGTGTAGCTGTCAATGGCATGGCCGATGTGCTCGAAGCAGCCCTGTAGAGAGAGACAACAGAGGTTCACTGAGTGGCAGGATGGCAGGTGTGTGTGCAAGGCCTGGCTCCAGCAACTGATGACATTCCTGTTGCTGCTCTCAATCCCAGCCAGCCAGCTGCAGGTCTGAATCAGAGTATTTGTGCATCCTGCTGACTCATACAAAGAGCTGTGAGGGCCAGGGAGAAGGGAAAGGAAGAGAAGGCCAGCGAGGAGAGGCTGGAAGACAGATGAACAGACAGACAGTAGAATGGGGAGAGGGGGAAACAGAGCAGATGGATAGACAGACACAGAGGGCAAAGGGACACACCTTGGTAAACAAGTAGTCCATGTGGCCCACTCGGCAGCCTTCTTCATTGATAGGGATGAAGTTCCCTGTCCGACGGCAGCACAGAGGGGGCCAGGGGAATTCCACCTCTGGAGTGGCTGCCCGGAAGGCTGATGTGTAATTCACCCAGTCCATGGGGCCAGATGTGCCACAGCATTCTTGCTGTAGGAAGAGCCAGGTTTAGGCTGGGGCTGAGGTCACACAGTTAAAGAGAGGCAGATGGACATTTGGCACAGCTGGACCCCACTTGTTAGAGTCCTAGACTCTGTGTGTGTGTGTGTGTGTGTGTGTGTGTGTGTGTGTGTGTGTGTGTGTGTGTGAAGGCTGATAGATTCGGCCCAAGCCTACATTAATTTTCTTTTAAAATTCTTTGGTTGATAACTGTGCTGTCAAAATGACACCAAACACTAAATGGGGCGGGAGATAGCCCAGAATTTAAAACCACCTGACACTTTTCAAGAGGATCCAAGTTCAGTTCCCAGCATCCATGTTGGATGGCTCACAACTACCTGTAATTCTAGTTCCAGAGGATTCCATGCCCTCTTCTGACCTCTGTGGGCACCCACACACACGTCTGGACAGACACACATATGCACATAAAAAAATTAAATCATATTTTACAAAAGGCGGATTTATGGCTTTTTTCAGCCCATTGAGTGGTTTGTTGTTGTTTTGGGGACAGGGTCTCACTATGTAACCTAAACTGGTGGCAGCCTGCCTCAGTGCTAGAATTCTAGGGGTTTACCACAATGCCCAGCTCAAATGGGTATTTAATCAGAAGCCCTTGGATGGGCACCCCTAACATGGTGCAGTTTCTGGGCCACTGCATGACTTGGCCTGAGCTAGGATTCAACGGCTGCTTCCTCCTCCTCCTCCTCCTCCTCCTCCTCCTCCTCCTCCTCCTCTACTTCCCTTTCCCCTTCTCCTTCTTTTTTTTCTGCAATATTATGTTGGATGCATTAAGAGTCCGGCTTCTGAGCTAGCTATGGGTGTATTGTGTCTCAGACCTGGAATCCCAGAACTGGGAAGCAGAAGCAGAAAGCATGAGGATTTCAAAGTCATCTTTGGGTGTATAAAGAGCTCAACACCAGCCTGGACTTCAAGAATCTCTTTGTTGTTGTTGTTGTTTGGTTTTTCAAGACAGGGTTTCTCTGTCTAGCCCCGGCAGCCCTGGAACCCACTCTATAGATCAAGTTGGTCTCGAACTCACAAGATCTACCCACCGGGATTAAGGCGTGTGCCACCTGTTTGGTTGGAGCCACCAGCTCGCCCCGGCAGGTTCCAGGAAGCCCCATTCCTGTCTCTCTCTCAGAGAGTCTCCGAACAAAGGAAAGGTGCCAAAAAGCCTAGTTCTGTATTCTTGATGACTATGGCTCCCCTGATGCTACCCGCCTAAGCACTCAGCTTTTGACCATACTTGGCAACAAATCCAGCTCGTGGTGGACATGTCATCACCCCTCACCTACAATCTATAAAACCCGCCTTAGCTGGAGCACTCGAATTCTCTGGCCTCAATCTCTGGACCAGAGAACCTGCCCAAGTTGCTTTGCCCTCAAACGCCTGTTGTTACACTTTTTCAATTCGGCTTGCTCTGGCTTACTGCATCAGCAGAGAAACTTATTATCGGAGGACAGAAAACCTATTGCCATCATTCTGGACTCGACCTCTGTCTTAAAAATGAGTGGTAGGCAGGGTTGGAGAAATGACTCAGAGGTTAAGAGCACAGGCTGCTCTTGCAGAGGAAATGGGTTCAGTTTCCATCATCCACATTAAGTGGCTCACAACTACCTGTGACTCCAGCTCCAGGGGATCTGATGCCCTCTTCTGGCCATTGAGGGCACTGCATACACAGACAGCATGAGAAACACTCATACACACAAAATCAAAAAAATAAAATTTCCTTTTTTCTATTTTTAGTGTGTGTCTCTGTGGTTTGCATGTTTTTGCACGAGTGTGGTTTGCAAATGTGTGCACATGTATGTGGAGGCCTGAAGTTGATGGAAAGAAGCATCCTTGGATGACTCTTCCATCTCATTTACTGAGGCAGTGTATCTCAATCAGACCCAGAGCTTACCAATATGGCTAGTCTAGCTAGCCAGCTTGCTCTGGTGTGTCCCCTGCCTCCACCTTCTGAGACTGGAGTTACACCCTCAGCCTGCTTTATCTGGGTTTCGGGCGACCTGATTCTGACCTTTTCACCTGTAGAACAAGCACCTAACCACTGAGCCATCTCCCCAACCCGTAACACATACATATTCTTTAAAAATATAATAAAGGAGCTCATCGTGGGGGAACAGGGCTGTAATTCTAGCTACTCAGGAGACTGAGACAGGATCACAAGTTCAAGGCCTGCCTGGGCTACATAGTGAATTAAAGGGTAGCCTGGGTAACTTATGGCAACCCTATCTCACTCAAAAAGTTAAAAAAAAAAAAGAGGGCTGGAAAGTAGAGTAACAAATAGCTAAGTGGTAGAGCCCTTTCCTTGAAGTCCTGGGTTTGGTCCCCAGCAACACACACACACACACACACACACACACACACACACACACACACACTGCCAAACGAGAGTTTTGTGAGGCAGAGACAGAGCAGTAGGCTCAAGGTCAGCCTGACTTACACACTAAAGGTCACTGTCGCCATCATCCACTGTCAGTGTCTCAAGGCGGGCAGCCCTGCCACCTACCAACCTGGTGACCCCAGAAAGTCTGTTGTCTACAAAACCATAGTGACCAAAGGCTCCCCTGGGTCCCCCAAGCGGATGCCCTCAACACAGTCACTCTGCCGTCCCTGGCAGGTGATCACAGAGCCCAACCCACCTCAATCATGACCCGGTCCCAGAGGCGGGTGAGCTCCTGGCCCTGGTCGCTGTCTGCACTGTAGAAGGTCAACATTTGCTTGGTGATCAGGGACGGGTTGGACACCATCTGAGGAGGGAGGACAGGGAAGAGCAGGAGCCAGCTGGATAGGGATGGAGGTCCACTCCCCTCCACCCTCCCAACTCGAGGGATGCCCCCCCCCCCGCCCCCGCCTCCACTTGGCTCACATAGTCACGGTGGGTGTAGGACGTGATGCAAGAGGCACACTCGAAGATGTAGACGATGAGCATCAGCAACAGGTACTGCAGAGAGAACAGAGGCAGCCATGGCAGAGGCCAGCCGGAGGCCATGCCCAAGAGCCTCAGGCCAAAGGGCCAAAACAAAGGTGACAGGGTCTCATCATGTAGACTTCCCTTGTTAGCATGGAAATCACTACATACAGAGCTGGTTTCAAGTTCATAGAAATATGCCCCACCCCCTCCTGCCACCGAGAGATGGAATTAAAGGGTGTGTCATAATACACAGCCCCAAACAGAACTTTTGTTCAGGGGAAAGTGCTACCTAGCATGTATAAGACTCTGGGTTCCCTCTCCAGCAGTGTACACACACACACACACACACACACACACACACACACACACACACACACACCCCAAAACAAAACACAAAATGAAAAACAAACAAAAAACACAGAGGGACTAATTTTGAAAAAGTAGTGTGTGAGGTGGAAGATTGAAAACTTGAGACCAAGCTGGTCAGTGGTGGCGCACGCCTTAAATCCCAGTGCTAGGAAGGCAGAAGCAGGTGGACCCCTGAGTTCGAGGCCAGCCTGGTTTACAGAGTGAGTTCCAGGACAGCCAGGGCTACACAGAGAAACCCTATCTCCAAAAACCAAAAAGGAAAATAAAAAACAAAAGCAAAGAAGCTGTTCTCAAGGTATCAGCATTTCAGCTCACACAGGGCACTGGAGATATAAAGGATTAAGGAGAATGTTTTGCAGTGTGCCATGGCCTAGAGGGCAAAAGGCATTAAAAGGTCAATATAACTCAGCAGTAGATTACTTGCCTAGAATCCATCAGTGATGGACTGGCTGCTTGTCTAGTACACCCAAAGCCTGGGTTCCTTCCTCAGAAAGGCAAGGTGTCTTTATATGTCACATAAAAAATATACTCAAATATTTATAGATGAATACCTGGACATCTAGATTATGCTTCAAAATCCTTTGGGGAGGGGCTGAGAAGTGGCTCAGGAGCTGAGAGAGCAGTGCACAGGGAGGCCCTGAGTAAAGCCCCCGCACCTACATCAGGAGACTCACACCACCAGTAACTTTAGGGTGTAACCCAGGGGGACCTACTGCCCTCTTACAGCCTTCACATGCACCTGCACTCACATGCACCTGCACTCACGTGCACACACCCACAGACATATACACATATAGTTTAAAAAATATGAGCCCGGTGTAGTGGTGCACACTTCTAATCCCAGCACTCGGGAGGCAGAGGCAGAAGGATCTCTGAGTTCAAGGCCAAATTGGTCTACAGAGTGAGTTCTAGGACAGTCACAGCTACACGATAAGGAAAAAAAATGAGGAGAAAGACAAGTCAGACATATTTTTAAAAAGTTAGAGGCCAGGCATGATGGTGCATGCCTTTAATTCCCGAACTTGGGAGGCAGAGGCAGGAGGATTTTTGTGAGTTTGAGGCTGGGCTGGTCAACACAGCAAGCTCCAGGACAGCCAGGACTCCATAGAGAGACCTTGTCTCAAAAGAATCAGGCCGGGCGGTGGTGGCGCACGCCTTTAATCCTAGCACTTGGGAGGCAGAGCCAGGCGGATCTCTGTGAGTTCGAGGCCAGCCTGGGCTACCAAGTGAGTTCCAGGAAAGGCGCAAAGCTACACAGAGAAACCCTGTCTCAAAAAAAACCAAAAAAAAAAAAAAAAAAAAAAAAAACCAAAAAAAAAAAAAAGGCTATGTTTAAGCCGGGCGGTGGTGGCGCACGCCTTTAATCCCAGCACTCGGGAGGCAGAGCCAGGCGGATCTCTGTGAGTTCGAGGCCAGCCTGGGCTACCAAGTGAGTTCCAGGAAAGGCGCAAAGCTACACAGAGAAACCCTGTCTCGAAAAACCAAAAAAAAAAAAAAAAAAAAAAAAAAAAGAATCAACAAACAAAACCAGTAGCTAGGTTGACTTCCAGGCTTTGATTAAACTGTTATGTCAGAAAGCTAAATACGTGATTGGAGGGTGGGGAGAAGGGATGGGAACAATGAGAGAGGGGCTGGGTGTGGCAGTGCACACCTGAAGTCTCAGCACTTAGGCAGAAGCGGCAGGTATCTTGGTCCACACAGTGAGTTCCAGGCCTGGCCAAGCTACACAGTGAGACCCTGTGTCAGGAGAGGGGGATGGGGGGATAGGAGGGGGAGGGAGTGTCGAGGAAGTCCTTCCACTAATAGCCCCATCTTATACATAATAAAGGCAAACTCTCCTAAGCCGTTCCCTCCCAGCCCTACCCAGCCCTACCTGTACTGTTCTCTGACTGCCGGATAGATGGCTGCCGGCTCCGACCACAGGGCCTTTGCTCATGCTGCTCTTGAGTGCACACTGAGCTCACTGCCCCTCACCTGCTTTTCTCTGCTGCTGCTGCTGCTGCTGGATGTGGGTTTTCCCACCCTACCCAGGCTCCCTTGTTTCCCCAGATCAAGGGTGTTTTCGCTGTGCTTCATGTCCAGTAAACACTTATTGACTACATAAAGTTCCTGGGAGCCTAAAGGACCCTCCGTAGCAGAGGAAGCACCGAGTTGTTTGCATGGGACATATGTTCTTCCCAACACTTGGGAGAGGCAGTGGCTCCCCTCTTGGAGCTTCTGCTTCTCTCTCTGGTAAATGAGCTTAAAAGCACAATTTCATATGGTTTCTGGGAAGACCGAGAGCCCATGGCCTAAACTGCTTGCTATAAGGTCGGGGGCAGGGGACGTGGCAGGGATTAAAAGTGTGGGCTTCTCGGGGGTGGCGGTTCATTTGGAAGCAGGCTTGGTTTACACAGTAAATTCAAGGTCAACCAAAGCAGAGTGAGACCGCGTCTTAAAACAAAACAAAACGACGATGGGCTTATGAGATGTGGTGGAACACACCTCTAATCCAAGCACTTGAGAGGCTGAGGCAGGAGGACTGTGAGTTCGAGGGCAGCTGGGGCTACATAGGGAGACTCTGTCTTAAAAATATAAAAGCAGGGGCTGGAGAGACGGCTTAGTGAAAGCCATGTGCTGTTCTTGCATAAGTCCTGAGTTCAGTTCCCAGCACCCCCATCAGCATCCCATAGCCACCTCTAACTCCAGCGTTAGGAGATCCTACTCCCTCTTCTGGTTTCCTTGGACAGCTGAGCAAGTGTGCCACACACATGCGCACTCATATACTAATAAAACACAAGAAATCTTGGGGCTGGAGAGATGGCTCACAGGTTAAGAGCACTGGCTGATACTGAGTTCAATTCCCACAACCACATGGTGGCTCACAACTATCTGTAATGAGATCTGGTGCCCTCTTCTGGTGTGCAGAACACTCATACATAAAAAATATAAATAAATAAAATAAAATAGAATAAATCTTAAACAGGAACTAGAATTGAGTCAAGAGCTGGTTTTTTCTGGTGTAACTGGGCTGTGTGGTCCTGCATGGGTGACTTCCTCTCCCTGAATCTGTTCCAATTTTCTGTCAAATAGTGTAGAGGTGATGACATTTCATCATAGACCACGTGACATATTTGAACTAATCTGTGTAAAGTGTTGAGCTCCGGTTATATATTGCATGGTTGTTAAATGATAGCTGTATTACTACATTTCGTTGTTATTGCAACTCAGGACCACAGACCATGGAGACCAAATAGTTGGGTTTCAATTCTCATTATATTATTGGGAATTCTTCTGTACAATGAGGGTGATGGTGGAAACTAAGTTATGGGGCCAGGGCATGGTGAATGAGATGGTGTTGTGAGGTCCTAAGTGAGGTGCCATCCAGGAGTCACACTCATGGCCCCTGCTGTCGCCCGTGACTGTGATGACCACTTCCACCATCCACAACCTGGGATCTCACCGTGAGGATCATGGACCGAAGGCGGCAGAGTGCGGCTCCTACACCAAAGCTGGCCACCACGAAGAAAGAGAAGCCGCAGAAGATGGCAATCCAGGCGCCAGCGAAGACATCATCCTTGCCTGAGACGCCCATCAGTGGGTACACACGGTACTGGTCAGCTGTCACCCACACTGTCTCGGCAAATAGGGCCAGGCCTGACAACTGGACAGGAAAGGTTAGGGAAGTATGCCTGGGGCCAGCAGTTGGGTTGTGAGTCTCCAAAAGCACTTCTTTCCTGGTCCAGAACCTCCCCGTGCCCTTGGGGTAAAGTGGGCTTGGAAGGGAGGCTAGCCACATCTTTATGAGCAGGGATGGGGTAGGAAGAAGCCAAGAAGGAAGAAACAGGTCCAGCTAGAACCTCAGCCCCCACATCCCAGGTGCCAGTGGCTTCAAAGATAAAAGGAGATGCCACATGCCAGGCTTGGCAAGCAGGGTGGACATAGGAAGCCGCCCTAGTGGCCCGCCGTGTTTCGTGGTGCGGTCCCTAGGACAGGATTGGACAGGTGGGCAGAACTATACGACACCTGCGTCAACCCCTCAGTCGGTCAGTTCATCTGACAGGTGCTCTGTCCCAGGCAAGGCCAGAGCCATCTCAGGCTTTTTCTCTGCAGCACCATGACAAGGGGAGTGGAGGCCACATGGCAGAGCATGTGTGACTGCCCAGATGCCTGGAGCCTGGCATTCTGTGGTCTCATATGGAGCAGCCTAGAGGCTATGGGAGCTACTGAAGGGCATATAGCGGTGAGCCACACTGGAACAAGAAAATAGACTATCTGTTTCTGTCCGCTGTGTTTGCTTAAAGAAATACCAGAAAGACTAGGGCATGTCTCTCAGCTGGTAGAGGGCTTCTCTAGCATGCAAAAAAGCCCTGTACTCAGTTGCCAGCCTTATAGAAACTGGGCCTGCTGGTACATTCCTATAAGCTCAGTAGAGGCAGGAAGATCCAAAGTTCAAGTCTATCCTTAGCTGCACAGGGAGTTTGAGGCCAGGCTAGACTACATGAGAGACCTTCTCTCAAAAATAACAAAAAAGGGGCTGGAGAGATGGCTCAGAGGTTAAGAGCACTGCCTGCTCTTCCAGAGGTCCTGAGTTCAATTCCCAGCAACCACATGGTGGCTCACAACCATCTGTAATGAGATCTGGTGCCCTCTTCTGGTCTGTAGGCATTCATGCAGACAGAGCACTGTATACATAATAAATAAATAAATAAATAAATAAATAAATAAATCTTTAAAAAAATAACAAAAAGGAAACAAACATCTGGTAACTACAGGGTTGCCGTGGGGACAAAGAATTAAAAACTCTGTCATCTATAAAGCTAGGCATGGTGGGTGGCACAGGCCTTTAATCCCAGCACCTGGGGGGCAGAGCAGAGGCTGATGGGCATGTGAGTTCTGATATATGGAGAAACCCAGTCTTGAAAAACCAAAAAAAAAAAAAAAAGAAGAGAAGGAAAGAGAAAAAGGAGAAGGAAGAGGAGGAGAAGGAAGACAACTTCTCTGTGGGTAGGCTTTTGTTTGTCGTTTTGGTTTTTTGAGACAAGCTCTCAGGATGTAGCCCAGGGTGGCCTGGATTTACTGTGTAGCCCAGGGTGGCCTGGATTTACTGTGTAGCCCAGGGTAGCCTACCTTCCTATTGCAGCTGCCTCAATACTAGAGGTGTATCGATCACACTGGGCTATCTGTGGATACTTGTGATGGTGATAAAAGCTAACAATGTTTTGTTTTGCTTTGTTTTTTTGAGACAGGGTTTCTCTATGTAACAGCCCTGGCTGTCCTGGATCTCGCTCTGTAGACCGTACTGGCCTCAAACTCACAGAGATCCGTCTGCCTCTGCCTCCTGAGTGCTGGGATTAAGGTGTGAGCCACCACCACCTGGCAAAAGCTAATACTTGTAATGGATTACTGTGCACTGAGTGTGGGATAATCAGTATTGTTATTAGCTGTGGTATCTGACTACTCAGGACCATGCAAATAATATACCACTTGCTGCAGGCCACAAAAAATATATGAAGTAGGAATTCAGCTGATTATGACAAAACTAGACCTGGAAGAATTAAGAACTCTTCCAGAGGTTGAGGCCAAGGCTCCTTGTCTTGGTGATACTGGCTTCTGATTATTAGCCATTTCCTGCTTTGAATTTCTCGTGTGCTGTTGTAGCTTTCCCATCATCCATTGGGCACAATGTCCCCTCTACAATGAAAGTACTTGTGTAACTTTCTCCAACTGTGCTACACCAGACACAGTCAGAATCCCTAATTTCAGGCCCCTCTGTAATTATTGCCATTAGCAGCATCCGGCCAGGACCATCCTCGGATGGAGGAAAGTATCTTATCTGAGATACCTCACAGATTCTTGAAGAACAGAGTTAAGCATCCAGACTATCTGAGAAGGCCTGGTGGATGTGTTAATTAAGCTTAACTTTCTCCTTTCCGAAGTCTTATCTCTAGTTTTAGATCCACCCTTAACAATTAACTCAGAACTAAAGGGTTTCTACTTACAGGTACATCAGGCTATGACTCAGGGTGCCCAGCCACCGAGTGCACTCCCCCGTCCTGCCAGAAAACGGCAGGAGCTGAGATAGCTTGGACAGATAAGGGGACCAAAGGAGAAAAGGCAGTTTTATTTTCACCCATGACCTAGTGACTTATAGGTTCTATAGGTTTCAACTAACCACTTCTAAGAATACAGTTTGAGCACATAAACCCCTTTGCTTAGATACTAACTGAATTTAGCCTCAGTTAATTCATTTCCTATTAGCCACTTCCCTTTTGGGTTGCAGATGATGGCTGGCAATTACTGCTCTTTGTGTGGGTCTTATTGCCCCTCCTTTTGACCCTGAGGGAATTCAAGCCTGGTGACCTTGCCTCAGCCAGAGCATTGCTGTTGCGTGGGTATATAACTGTAAACCTCAGAGACTTGACAGAACTAGATTGAAGGACTAGAAGAGAGAACTAGAAGGATGAGATGGAAGGTGAGGAAGAGCCAGATGGGGAAGAACTAGGTGGGTAAGAACGAGATGAGAAAGACCACGATGGGGCAGAACTAAGATGAAGGAGTTAAAACAGTCTTAGAGGGAACAGCAGAAAGATGTAGAGAGAATCAGGCAGGAGAGGAGCTAAGTGTGAGAGCAGAAAAGAAGCTGTGTGGAGAGAGAACTGGCTCCGAAGAACAAAGCGTATGGACTAAAGAATTTCGTGTGCGTAGATTTGTTAGAGAATCCCTCTGATTAATCCACCACTGGTAAAGTCTCTTCTGGAACTCTGGGAGAAGGCTATGGAGGGGCAGGACCCCAGTAGCTTTCCTTAACCACTTAGACAGACTCCGGTCTAAAACCATTAGCCCAGGAACTCACTGTAGGCTCAGGCGTCCTTGTGTCTCTTGCTAGGATGAAAAAGCTGGGGTCACAGAGGTGCTACTGAGGGCGACAAGCCCCACAGCCACTAGAGCCTGCCGGGCCAAAGCAGTGCAAAAGCATCCATGGTTTTCACTGTTTGAGAGCCGACATCGAGGGCTGAAGAGGCAGCTGCTAGTTAGGAGTGCTCACTGCTCTTCCTGAGGACTGAGTCCGGTCCCCAGAAGCCACATCAGGTGGCTCTCAACCAGCTGAAACTCCAGCTCCAGGGAAATCCAATGCTCCCTCTGGCCCCTAAGGACGCCTGCACTCACCTGCACCCACACACATATATATTCACATTTATTTACTTATTTTGAGATGAGGTCTCTCTGTGTAGCCCTGGCTAGCATGGTACTCACTACATAGACCAGGTTGGCCTTGAACTCACAGAGATCTGCCTGCCTCAGCCTCTCCAGTGCTGGGACTAAAGACATGGACACCACAATGGCTAGCTACACATACTTTAAAAATAAAAATCTTGGGGTGGTAGGGAGTAAATTGAGAAAGTTGGGTAAAGGGGTGCTGAATATGACTAAAACACACCGTATGAACTCTCAACCAATAAAAAAAATTAAAAAAATCTTGGCTAGACATGGTGGTGCATACCCCTAACCCCAGAGGTAAGTAGATCTGTGAGTTCAAGGCCAGCCTGGTCTACATAGAAATACCCTAAAAAATAAGAAACAATTATCTCTGGATGTGGTACATGTCTTTATGCCAGCACTCAGGAGGCAGAGGCAGGTGGATCTCTAGGAGTTGGAGGCTAGCCCAGTCTACTTAGCAAGGTCCAGGCCAGCCAGGGCTACATAGTGAGACCCTGTCTCAAAAAACTGAAAGCAGTCACTTTGTGAAAATCGCTACCATATGTTTAAAAATATTTATTATTTATTGCGTGTGGGTGTGCATAAGAAAGAGTGCAATTCCTTGAGTGTGGTAGTCAAGGGGCTGGGGGTTTAGCTCAGTGGTAGAGTGCTTGCCTAGCAAGCGCAAGGCCCTGGGTTCAGTCCTCAGCTCTGGAAAAAAAAAAAAAAAAAAAAAAGGGGCTGGAGAGATGGCTCAGCAGTTAAGAGCACTGGCTGTTCTTCCAGAGGTCCTGAGTTCAATTCCCAGCAACCACATGGTGGCTCACAACCATCTGTAATGAGATCTGGCGCCCTCTTCTGGCCTGCAGGCGTACATGCAGACAGAACATTGTATACATAATTAATAAATAAATCTTTAAAAAAAAAAAAAAAAAAAAAAGACAGAGAGCACCTTGTGGGATTCAGTTTCCTCCTTCCACTACATGGGTCCCAGGAACTGAACTCAGGCCCTCAGGCTTAGCCACTGAGTTGTTTCAAACGCTGCATGATTTTTTTGTTTGTTTGCTTTAGGACACAAAACTTAATGTAAATTTTGTTTGTGGTTCCACATTCAGTGCAAGCAGACCTGGAACTAGCTGCCTCCAACAAGCGCCGCAGGTGGGGAAGGAAGAAAGGGGAGGGGATGAGCCTTGTTCTTCCTGGGTGTTACAGTTTTGTTTTGCTGTGACTGAGTCTTGCTGTGTAGCCCTGGCTATCTTGGAACTCCCTACATAGGCCAGGCTGGCTTTGCATTTACAGCCATCCCCCACCTCTGCCTCCTCAGTGCTGGGATTAAAAGTGTGGGCCACCCCACCCAGCCAGAATGGTTTGTTTTTAAAGATTTGGTCTCCTGCAGCCCAGGCAGGTCTTCAAATCTCTATGTAGCTGAAGCTGGCCATGAACTCTCTCTCTATGCACTTCCCAATCACAGGTGTGCACCACACCCAGCTGCTTGAGCTCGCCCTCCCTCCCTCCTTCCTTCCCTCCCTCCTTCTCTCCCTCCCTCCTCCCTCCTTCCTTCCCTCCCTCCTTCCCTCCCTCCCTCCCTCCTCTCTTGGAACATAGTTTCACACTCTGATCTAGGTTGGCCTCAAACTCCCAGCAGCTCTCTGGCCTCGTCCTTCCACATGCTAGGATTACAGGTGTGTACCACCATTCCTGTCTATCAAGCATTTTTCACAAATTGTGGATGAATCTCCGAGAGCCGCACGGGCTCAGTTACTGACAAGGAAGACTGTGAGGACAGGTTCCTCGCACCCTCTCTCCGGCTGCAAGGTCAGGTAGCTGGGTTCCCTCCAGGCTGCAGGGACTAGAAACTACAGCAGATAGACTTAGGTCCTCATCCCCACCTTAGGTTTGGGGTTGTCACCCCCCACTCCCATGCTCCCCAGAACTGGGGCCTCACCAGAATAATGATGTTGCCTACAACCAGCAGCCCCACCACCACAGGAGACCCCTTCTCTTCCTCTGTTGCTGCAGAAGCCATCTTCCTGCTGGGGAAAAGGAGCAGGAATGAGACAGGACAGAAGTTAGCGGGGAGACCCAGCAGACCCGCTTCTCCACTCCACACTCTGTCCGTCCGGGGATGCTCACTTGCTGCAGAGCCCAGGCCGAGACCCACATGCCCAGAGTCCCGGAGCCTGCCAGTGAGCCTTCTACGGAATAAGGAAGTTGGACTCTTACTGGGCACTTGTTGCTCTCAGTTCCCATGCCCTGTCAATTCCCAGAACCCCCTCCTCACCTTCAGTGCAGAAACCTCTCTGGCCAGCCCCACCCACAGCAGCTCCCTATATAAGCCCAAACCCCTCCTTGAGACAGTCTCCGAGGAGGTGGGGACAGGGGTTGAGCAGGCTGACCATGATGGGAAGATAGATTTTATGAACTCCCTGACACTTGAGTGATTTATAGACCTGAAATTCAGGATTGTGCTCATGACCGGCCACTGGGACAAGGGAACATATGTACCCAGGGCCTCTAGTTCCCAGGCTGCCGTGATGCAGGGGTGGGGTAGGGGACAAGCTAACCGCTCCATGTGCCGCCCTTTACCTAAGGGTGACATGGGCTTTCCTGGGAGCAGGGGTCAGATCCATGAGATCCTCCTGGGAATCCCAGATCAGAATACTGCCTTCCGCAGCTTCCTGAGACCAGGAGCCCAGAGGGAGGACCAGAGAGAGACCCCCACAGCAGAGGAGCAGGGAGCAGGCCCAAGGCAGGGCAGTGGCAGGGACTGGAGAGGAAAGGCACTGGTTTGGGCTGCAGCAGCAGCAGCAAAGAGGATGATGGTGTTGGACATAGCTTGAGGGTTTTTGAGACAGGTGTGTATATATGAAGAGGGAGGAAGGAATGTACTAGAAGAAAGAAGGGGACATATGCAATGGGCTTGGCGGGACACACACACACACACACACACACACACACACACACACACACACACACACTTCTTCAGGCTGAAGAACAGAAGGGATCTAAATTCAAGACAGACAGAGTAGTGCACACCTGTAATTGTAATCCCAGTAGTGGGGAGATACAGGCAAGGAGGATTATGGGTTCAAGACCATCCTGAGCTTCATAGGCAAAGGGGTTGGGGGGAGGGACAGAGAGGGGGAGAAAGAGAGGAGGAGGAGGAGGAGGAGGAGGAGGAGGAGGAGGAGGAGGAGGAGGAGGAGGGTTCAAGACCATCCTGAGCTTCATAGGCAAAGGGGTTGGGGAGAGGGACAGAGAGGGGGAGAAAAAGAGGAAGAGGAGGAGGAGGAGGAGGAGGAGGAGGGAAGGCAGAAAGGAAGGGAAGGGGAAACAAAAGAAAGAAACATATCTAGCTTAAATCCTGCTATCTCCTAGTGCTGCACGATTACGCGCACACCTGCACTGTGCGTGACGGGTCAGGGTTCCCAGTTGGCAGCCGGTGAAGCGCGGGAGGTTCGGCGCGGTCTCTCTGATGGCACCCCCTGGTGGTCGCTTGAAGCAAGGGCCCTGCCCCAGAATTTTTCCAGAGTTTTTGTTGAGTTTTCTCTGCAGGCAGTCACTTCCCTACTGCAGGAGAAGCGGGCACACAAACGGCGCTTAAAATTCCCGTGTGAAGACGGGGTTAGTCGAGAGCGGAGACCGGGTCAGGAGAATCTCAAGTTCAGGATCACTCCGTTATTTGGCCAGTTATACGGCCAGCTTGTGTTACAGAAGATCCTGCCTCGGCGCATGCCATTAATCCCGACATGGGCAGGAGGATGGATCTCTGTGAGTTCGAGGCCAGCCTGGTCTACAGAGCGAGATCCAGGACAGGCACCAAAACTACACGGAGAAACCCTGTGTCGAAAAACAAAAACAAACAAACAAAATTTTATTTTATGTTCATTGCCTGAATGTATGTCTGTGTGAGAGTGTCAGAGCCCCTGGAACTGGAGTTCCAGGTGTGATCTGTTATGTGGGTGCTGGGAATTGAATCTGGGTCCTCTGGAAGAGCAGCCAGAGTTTTTAACCTCTGAACCATCTCTCCAGTCCCAAAATTGTTATGTTGCCAAATCCATCATGTATGGCTTTGTAAGTCTTTTTGTTTTGTTTTTTTCAGACAAGGTTTCTCTGTGTAGCCCTGGCTGTCCTGGAACTTGCTCTGTAGACCAGGCTGGCCTCAAACTCAGAGATTCGACTGCCTCTGCCTCCTGAGTGCTGGGATTAAAGGTGTGTGCCACCACTGCCTGGTAGTTTTTTGTTTTAATTAAATTGTATTTACTTATTTTGTGTGTGTGTGTCCATTGTGTGCATGTGGGGCTGAGAGGACATGTGGGTCTCATGGTTCAGCATAAAGGTACTTGCCACCAAGCCTGATGACCGGAATTCTATCCTTTGGACTCTTATGGTGGGAGAGAACTGACTCCTGCCAACTGTCATCTGATTTCTACCCTCAGGCTAGGGCACATGCACCCCTAATATTCATGCTTGTACACGCAAACACACAAAGTAAGTGTAATAAAACATACTAGCTAGGCACTGGTGGCGCACACCTTTAATCCCAGCACTTGGGAGGCAGAGCCACGCAGATCTCTGTGAGTTCGAGGCCAGCCTGGTCTACAGAGAGAAATCCAGGACAGGCACCAAAACTACACAGAGAAACCCTGTTCCGAAAAAACCAAAAAAAGAAAAAATAAAAATAAAAACAAAACCCTAGAGCACAGGGCTGGAGAGGTGGCTCAGCAGTTTGGAGCACTTATTGACTTATTGCTCTTGCAGAGGACCTGGGTTCGATTCTCAGAACACAAATAGTGGTGGCTCAAAACCATTTGTATAGAAAAATGGGCCTTGGCCGTTCGTGTTCCTGGAGTTGTATCCATGCCAGTGGATGTCCACACACTCCAGAAGAGAATTTGACATTGCTGCTGCGGTTGTTGCTGTTATAGCAGTGGCAGCCACCACTGCTATTGTGTCTGGGATTGCCATTTCATAATTGGGTTCTACAGCTAGCACAGTGGAGACCCTGGCAGCAAAAGTAGCTACCACGTTAGTTAATCTTTCATTCTATTGGGCATGATAATTTTTTTTTTGTTTGTTTTTCGAGACAGGGTTTCTCTGTGTAGCTTTGCGCCTTTCCTGGGACTCACTTGGTAGCCCAGGCTGGCCTCTGCCTCCCGAGTGCTGGGATTAAAGGCGTGCGCGGCCACCACCGCCCGGCGGGCATGATAAATTTAATTCAATAGTTATATACATTTCGATTGGCTTTGAAAATTATAAATTTATAAACTCAAGTTCCATTTGCTTTTGGGATACCATCTTACAGGGACTCCAATTTGCAGTAAGGCTTGTTAAGGAAGGGAATGGCTCAATTGCCTTTAGCCTACCATCTATGGGTGGTTAGGACCTCTGTTCGTCTTTTCTGTGTCACACACACAGATTGCAAGCCCAGCGCCACTTTGAGATCTTTGGCAGCAGTTAACTCTGCAGCTCACACACGACTGAGCCTTTATGATAATGAGTATTCAGAGACGGGTAATGCCTGGGGGGCGCTCACCAACCTAAGACAGAGCGCCTGTGGGGCCTGGGCAGGCATCTCCATGACGGGTAAGGTGACCTGCTGACGTCCCATGCAACCTAAGTCAGAAGCTCATTTTTTAGGGGGGGACCTGTAGGGTCCTGACCTCTGTTTTGGGTAACCGTTGCCTTGCTTGCTGACCTTGACCTTGATATCCTCCCTATGCTAATTCCCTGCCGGGTTCCACCCTCCTAAATGCTTAAGGGAAGTTCCTTGTCTGTGTATCCTGCATAATGGGCGTCAGCAGCTTAGATGCAAGATTGTAAAACATCAGTAGCGAACTTCTGCCCTCTGGGGTTCTCCCATTGTGCTGTAAGCCTGTATTTAAGACCTCTTCCCTCCTTCAATAAACAGCATTTGGCATTAAATTAAAAAAATTAAAAATAAATAAATATATAAAAAAAACAAAAAACAAAAACCATTTGTATAAGTGTAGTTCCAGGGGGATCCAATGCCTTCCTCTGGTTGTCAAGGGCACATACATGCAGGCAAAATAATCTGAATTTTTTTTTTTTTTAAGTAACAGGGCAAAATGGCTGGGAGCATAAAGGTGCTTGCCCTGTGAGCCTGAGTTCGATCCTGAGAACTATGGAGAGACAAGTGACTCTACCAAGTTGTCACCTGACCTCCACATGTCCACACACACATTATACACACATTTTAAAAAAAAAGGGAGGGCTGGAGAGACGACTCAGCAGTTAAGAGTACACACTGCTCTCCAGAACCTGAGTTTAGTTCCCACCACCCATGTGGGAGCTCACAACTGCCTGTAACGCCAGCTTCGGGGAATATGCTGCCCTCTTCTGGCCTCCACAGGCACATACAATCCCTCATACACAAAAGTAAAGAAAACGGCCAGTGTGTAATACAGCCGCCACTCAGAAGGCTGAGGCAGGACTCCAAGTTCAAGGCATACCTGGACTTCACAGTGAGTCCAAGGTCAGCCTGAGAAATAGCAAGATCCTAACTCAAAAAAGCAAAATAAAAAGGAGGGATGCTTGAGAGATGGCTCAGGAGTTAAGAGCATTCACTGCCCTTGCAGATGGGAGGACATCCCCAGCACCAGTTACCATGCAGCTCACAACCACATGTAACTCCAGTTCCAGGTTCAAAGCCCTCTTCTGGCCTTAGAGGGCATTTGTGGCATGTGCACACATACACATAAATTTAAAGAGAGAGTGTGAGTTTGTGACACAGCTCAGTACTTGCCTAGGATCCCCCAATAAGGGGCTGGGAGTATGGTTCAGTGGTAGAGCCCCTGCCTAGAAACTATTATTGTGGGGCTGGGGGTGTGGCTCTGAGTTCAACCCAGACCAACAACACAGTTCTCATTGTCTAAGCCAGTTACAAACACAGTCCCACAAGGCCTGTGGTCCTCCTCCAGGCAGGTGTCTTTTGAGAGGCCACATGAGACAGGATGAAAGTCCCTGCAGTCACTGAGGCTTTCTAGGTGGCCAGGCCGACTCCCTGATACGTTGGTGTGCAGCAGTTCCTGAGGGACAGTGTGCTGTCGTCTCACTGACTGTTTTGAAGACAGGGTTTCTGTGTGTAGCCCTGGCTATCCTAGAACTCACTCTGTAGACCAGGCTGGCCTCGAACTCACAGAGATCCATCTGTCTCCCAGGATTAAAGGCATGTGCCACCATACCCCACTATAAATAAATCTTTAAAAGAAATCTACTCTTCATTGTAAAAATAAGAAAGATAACCAC